TACGGCACCCATTAATAAGGGCCTCTCCCTTATAAAAGTGCTCGTTTTCTTAACTCAGTTAAAGACAAGATGTTTTATATTAAAGTCTTCCTTAGTTTAACGGCATCAATTTCGAATTGGATCCTTGTAGCGATAAGGCGAAACTTTCCTTTACGGCCAATTAGATCTTACAAGTTTAGAATATAGTTAATCAAGTATCTTCGATGAATACAATGCTAATTGTAGTACTTATTACTGTTAACACTGCACTCATCGCTTATTTTATAAGGAAAAAAGAAGTTTAATATGCGCCTGACAAATAAGTAATAGCAATACGCTCCAAGTCAAATAAGAACTAAAGGAAATAAAATCAAGAGTCATTTATGAACATTATTTTAGAATATAAAGAAGAAATTGAATTCCAAACTTGAACACGGGAGCTGTCAATATGCTCTATACCTACTTTGGGTCCTTCATGGAAGTTACTTTATTTGGAAACCTTTTAAGAGGTAGTACGAAGTCGAGAGAGTACCTATATGGCATTTCGTGTCTAAAAACTTCTTTGAAAGTAATTTATAAAAACTTTTTGTATTAATTTATCTAATGGATTTAGTGAATGTCCATTCGCATAGATTAAATTCGGGTATTCAATATCACGAGAAAAAGATTTTTATATCTGAAATGATGATTAACCTTACCTTTCCATTCACCGAAAAGATATTAGGAAAGCCATTAACCAGGTAATTAGGAATTCATGTCGGAACGAAAATTTTGCTTTTGAAAGTCAAGCTTACCCTTGCTTTCAGTTGTGTGGGCTTTCTTACAAAGGTGCCTGTTGACCTCCCGGTGTACTTATACAGCCTTATACTGAAGCTTACGTAATTTATGTAGTCTAAGTGTACTGTATGGCGTAGGTACTTGAGATTTATGCGAACATTTACTGGTGGTAAATCTGTCTGGAGATTGTATATTAATATTAGATAGAGTAAATATACGTTCGTAATTTTAGATGGAGGAGATAATCCCTGAAAATACTTATCTCGCTCTAAAAAACATTTTGCCTATTTTTTTTTTTTTTTTAAGGGGGGAAAATCATCGAATGACTGTTCCCGCCTGGGTGAGGCGGGAGGGAGTGTCAGACTCTTACTGACTAAAAACCACCCCGTTCCTTCTCCTGCACGTCGAGCCGGAGCCCCGGTTACCCGTTAGGTTCTCCGCGACTCCGAATCGGCATCGGCCCTATTGGGCCCCATCTGTGGTGGTCTGATGGCTCTTTGAGGCGCGCGCGGAACGCGACGCGCCGTACGCTCGGGTCTGTTTCTGGTCGGACGGGGAGCCACCCATGCTCGCCGTCCGCAGGCCCGCGCTTACGGTGGCCGGAGATCGTCCCGCGATCCCCGACGCCCGGTGTGTCCTTCGCGATGGCTGGGTTGCGAGGAGGCAGCGCTTCGCTGTCTCACGCGTCCCGCCTCCTCCTTAGCTAGCATGACTGCTTCGCAAAAGGAGGAGACGGCATCCCAGTCCCCCTCGCTCCGCATCATGGCCTGCACTAAGCCCGGACGCGAGAGGTCGCCATCGCCGATCACTTCCCTGAGGACACGGCGGTGCTCAGCCCACGCAGGGCATTCAGCGACAGTGTGTTCCACCGTGAACATTTTGCCTATAAAAGTTTATCTCGAGTCTCGTGTTCGCAAATCTGGGAAGATAAGAAATGTTAAGCTTTTTTTTGAGGAGGAAAAATCATCCAATGACTTCTCTCGTCCGGGTGAGGCGAGAGCGAATGTCAGACTCTTGCTGACTAAAAACCAACCCATTCCTACTCCTGCGCTTCGAACCGGAGCGTCGTCAACCCGTTGAGCCTTCCGAGGTTCCAGGAAAAGTTAAGTTTGACTTCCAGACTAGACCAGAATAATGGTCTGAAGCAGAACTACGAAAGTATTTTAATTATAATGAAACAAATACCACCACCGGTAACTTGGACCATGCTTCCGCTACTGGTCGGCTCTTATATTCTTCCTCCAACTTTTTTTTTATTTAAGTAGTATTTAAAAATATAATTTTAGATTATTTTAAGTAAATACATAAAATAATTCACTTAGTTGGATCAGATTAATAATATTATTTTGTGGAATACAATATTTAATAATACATTGCAGCTTATGACATGACTACGATAATATCTGCTAAAGATTAATATACATTGCTTGAAAAATATTCCTTTTGTTCCATTCATGGTTCACATATTCCGTAAAGAGCTACTAATACAAAGACATATTCAGCTCTACTGATATTACTTGCCAAACTCAATGCACAGATCGATATCGTCCACTGCCAAGCCTTAAAACCATAACAAATATATACGAAGTAGGGACCTACGTACGTAGCTATAGCAAAGTGAAATATTGTACGATTCCATTTCATAGCAGTAAGCTTCTTGTTAGTATTTATGACGTCATCAAGAAATGAGCAGAGTGCTGGGGCGACTATTAAATTAATGCATTCGTCGCCCCGCGGCTATCCATCGCTGGCTCATTGCGATGTAATGTTTCATCGACTTGGAAAACCCTGATTCAATTTTAAGTGTATTAAATATTTCAGGAATGGATTTTAATGGTCGGTTTTCGAAATAAATAAGAAAGTTTTGTACTGATACGGCAGAAAAACAAAGTCGAATGTTTCATTTACTAGACAACAGCTTTTAGTTAGGTAAACAGTAATTTAGCTTAAAGAGGCGAGAACAAATACTTGTTTGTTTCAATTTATTGTACACACAAACTGGATTGATTCACAGAAACAAATCTTGCGCCCGACGTTGTTAGCGTATTTTACAAGTAACAATTACGGACGAGGGCTGAATAATAATGGCTTGCTTAAACTTCATCAGTCAGAACGCTCCTCTTATTGCTCGACACTAAGGCACGAAGAAATTCCTCTCGACAAAGAGCGAGTACAATAAATTCTCGGAAATCCATGATCATTACGTCTTCAATTTTCCGAGAACAGTCCCTCTTTTTTCTATTATTCATTTTATTTTGTGTTTGTACGGTTTTATAAAAGTTCATGCTTTGTTTAATTTTATTTTATCAATTGTTTCCGTAGGTGTTTTGAGTTTTTGTGAAAAGGAAGCTTTGATCTATCTTCATTACAGCAATTGAATATTATTTTACGTACGTTTCGTTTATTTAGGTAATGTGTGTTACTCATAAGGTAAGAGGAAAATTACCCTCGACATTTATTGGTAAACTCTATCTAAGATATGTTTGACTAGTATGTTTACTCGTATAAAAACAGTTACAAATATAAACAGACAACATCAAACACTGCCACCGCATATCAAAACGGTGCGTAATATTTATCCTGTAAAAGGCCGTAAAGATAACGATCCACTTAAAAGCGAAACTTTCAAGTGTAAATAATGTAGGCAGGTTGTTATGGCCGCCGCGGTGTTGTGTACCCAACCGAATGTTTATAAGTAATGTTTACACGCCCCACTCGACACCCTCCGCATATTAAATCGGTTTATTTCACGCGGTGTAATGAAGCCCTAACCTTGCGTCCTTGCACATTTAGGTCCGCAGATTAGTACCTGTATACTTTTATTGAGATTAGATAACATCTAACGTCATAATGCTAAATTAGAGCGAGACCAAAATTGCGCCACAATAACAGACAGGCGACAAAAAGATAAAACTTTTCTGGTGTCCTTTGCTTACACAGTTTTTGTTGCTTAACTGTCAGGATTGGTCACTACGCCAAAATTCTCACAAATCTTTGTAACAGCTTTACGTCCTCCTTTTTGAAACAGTTGCCCTCAAAAAAAAAAAAAGACTTTGACTCTTTGTCGCTTTGAGCGAGTTCCGTGTATGGGCATCAAATTGAACAGAAAAATAATACCGCGTAGAAAAGAGATTTCATTTCTTAGAAGTTGAATGCATAATGCAACTTTAGCTGTAGATAATGTCCTATACACTTCTATTGGACAGTACCTACTACCTACAGCTGAGTCCATCATTTGCAGTTTAACGAGATGTCTGTTACAGACAGAAGTAATGCCAGCAAATTGCTTTATGCATTAAAAGCTAAAATAATGAATATTAAATTACCTTTGTACTCTGATAAAATGTATTGAAACAATTGTAAACATTTTACTGCCATACATAAATATACATAATATACATAAAATAAATTACAAAAACATGCGAACATAGGTACAATAAAATTAATCCTGAAAATAAAAGATTAATAAGAAAAAATGATTTCATATGTAATTTAATAGGGCTACGAAACTAGAAGACTATTGTTTTTTTTGGTTGAACCGCAGTTTTTGTTGTACTTAATTTGTTTCTTAATATTGTTATGAGCTTTAATTAAAATATCATCAAAGAGTACAATAAGTGTAAATAAAGTTCATGGATTCAATTTAAGGTCCCGTAGGCACTTGCTACGGAAATTGCTACGGAGCGTAGCCATCGCTACAAATAGCGTAGTAAGTTGAAATGAACATTTAAAAAAATCTACAGATTGCTTCTAAAAATGTAAAAATATTACTACGTACATGAATCATAAAAGTATCTTGGCTGCATAAAAACATGACGAGTGTATTAGTGCCGCTGCATACAAATGTAACGAAAATAGATACCACTATTGATTTCCAGATAACTAATCTCTTGTTTCAGTTAGTGATTCGAACTTTCCATATCACGCAAGATATCGAACCGATTGTCTTTTGGAAGTTCGGTTGTAAAATAGGTACTACTGATAGTTATAATATCTTGAAAGCCTATTTAAGTTAAAAGTTTTACCTAAATTGTTTTTTAATTTTAATATTTGTACTTTTCTTCGTAAACTATGAATGCTATCCGTAAAGTATTTTATAAGCTTTAATTTGTAAAGACAATAGAAGTGACGGTGTAACTAAGAAGCCGTGCGCTCGTAGAGACAAAAAGTTGTAATTTCTATAATTATAAGTAGTAGTGAGCGACTGGGTAGGATGCGCGCCGGTAGCAGTGTGTGGACAGACACGGGCCGACCTAGATCGGGTCCGCTCGATGCCGCCCGAAGCGCTCGCCGGCGCCCGCCCAGAATAGACGCAGCACGTGCGTCGGCCGCGACACACGCCCGCGCCCGCTCCCTGCCCGGCTCGCGCTCGGCTCGCGCTCGACTCGCACCCGGCCCGCACCAGCAGCGTCCCGCTCACCGCACACGCTGTCACGCTAGACATCTAAAGCCACGCTCTCATAAGACAACCATGTAACTCGTGTTGTGATCCCCGCGTAAATGGACGACAAAACTCAAGTCGAAACTCTACGTAAACTATTAATAAACTCGTTAACGTGAAAGTATTTAGTGACTGAATGTTTACTGTGCTCCGGAATCGTAGTGGCCTTGCTCGTTATCTTTTACCGGGAAAGCTTCCTGATACCGTTTGGTTTGGTTGATCTTTATCTGTCATAGATTCGTGTTTAGCCTATTAGCAGCTTAGAGTAATATATTTTGTGATGTATCGTGAAGAGCCTTATTTATGTAACAAACACTGAAACGATGTGCCTTATCCTGTAATATTCGCGTAGTTTAACGAAACGGAACGCAATAAATATTTGTAAGCGAGTGTGACTCACCGCCGCAGATATGCAAAGTTTCAAGTTCGTGTTAGTATGTGCATTACTGTTTGTACCGGAGCCTGCCCCCGCCTGGAAGGCAGACACGTAAGTCTAATCTGTTATTTATGAAATCTATTACTCCACACACGCATAAACCTCGCCAGTTCTCATCTAGCTAAAACAGTTTGAATATTTTATTGACTTTGAAACTAAACGGTCACAAACAGATACTTTTCAGAAGTGTTATTTAACTATCAACTATCGTTTCATACTTCAGAATTGTCTGATTATTCTACAAAACTCGTAATGAGGAGCACTGTGAAAGAGACAAAACATAAACAAGTAAAGTTTCTGTTTACGCGTAGAGTACGTGTTACAAAGTAAGTTTATTCGAAGAACATTACGATACAAAGCCGGACACGAGTCCGGACACCGGAACGAGACGTGACGCACATTCAAGAACATCATACTTATAGACCCCGGGTTACTGAAAGTGGAAGGGACCGTCTTTCAAAAGTTCATACCTACCTGTACTTTCGCATACAAAATACACGACATTTTTCATAAAATACTTAATTATTTGGTAAAATTCATGTTACAATTTTTCTAAAGAAATTAAAATGTTTCGGCGACGGCAAAGGAAATATTTTAAATTCAAGTGTCTTACGGAGAGAAGTTTGTCTCCATTATATAAGTTTGCACCGCGGTGTCCCTTCCAGCCCTTACACATTTATTGAACAATAAATCACAGCTTTTCTAAAGAAACCTTTGTTTTGCGGACCATTATGTACGAACCTTTATTTGCGCCTCATTACGAACCCTGGTTGCTCACAAATATACTGCTTTGAAAAAGAAAATCACCAATACGGTTTTCTTCATTTCTTTTCGTATAAAATACGTCAACTTATTTGAGTAAGTTTGGAACCTAAATCATATGTAATATTAGTTATTTTGTAAGTTGTACAAAATATTATTTATAGACGTTGAAAACATGTATAAAGTTGATCTTTCAACAACTCTTTAGGGAATAAACTCCTGACTAAGTTAAAGTTTTCCAAACATTTTAGTTATTTTATGTAAGGAAGGCTAAGGTGTTTTTTGCAACACAGCGTACAAAGAAACCTGTAATTTCCTTCACAGCCGCTTATTATTTAGACGAGCGGAATATTAAACATCCCGTATTTCCTAATTAAGCTCTATTAATTTGTAATTAGTGTAGGATTTCTTTTATATTTTCTTGTTTATCAAGCATTTTTTATTTGTAGAGTAAAAGTATGGGCGAGAGCGCTTGGAGATGAACTATGGAAGTTAAGTGAAGCTCTCACAAAATCAGATCAAATCAGAATCGTGAGTAAAATAATATTTTTATATCAGTAAACTGTCGCGGAGAGCCTAACGGGTAACCGGGGCTCCGGCTCGACGTGCAGGAGAAGGAACGGGGTGGTTTTTAGTCAGTAAGAGTCTGACACTCCCTCCCGCCTCACCCAGACGGGAGCAGTAATTCGATGATTTTCCCCCCTTAAAAAAAAACATCAGTAAACAATGTATAATGTGTAGATATTGATTTTGTCTACTATGTAATAACGCAATTTATTAAAAACGTTTGCTCCATACATGTCACATCAATCGTGTAATTTATTCACAGAAATACAAACAAATGAATGCGAGCGTGAAAAGTAAAAAAGGAAAACAAATATTGGAGTCTTCGCTTCGTTCTGTGAGCAATATGCTCACTCGCAAAATCAATGCTGTCAAGGTAAACCATAGTCGTAACTTTTATATGACATCATTACATAACGCCCCGTGTACTGACCAGGACTAAAGCTAGTTCGGTGGTAAATGTAGGTTTTCGATAATTAATTCAGTTTACTAATGCATTCACTGTGTTACTACGCACATTCCATTGGTACTTCATTATGTAATTCATTTGTAAGTGTATGCACTGAATTTTGAGGCCCATTTCAATACTTAAAATTAGGTTTCTGTTAGTCTATTGATAAATAATTTGATGTATGGCCAATATGTCAAAATAAGTGTAATAAGTATTTCTTATGGGATAAGCCGGTAAACGAGCAGACGAATCACCTGATGGTAAGCAATCGACGTCGCCCATGGACACTTGGAACACTAGAGGCGTTATAAGTGCGTTATCGGCCTTTTGGGGATTAAGTGTTTGAGGATTGTTGGGGATTCAGGGATTGGGGAGACTGGGAAAGGAGGGAAAGCTCACAATACTTAATCCAAAATTGGTGATCCCTTAGTCCTTTAAATAGTCAGTGACAAAATATATGTTTTTACCGACTTCATGTTGTTATTTACTCAGAATGATGTCTGAGGTCAGTTACAGAATTATTTGCATAAACAAATCGTATTAAGTAGTAGATTTGAAACGCTTCAATGCATTGTCTATTATCTAGATGTTTATGTAGGTAATCTGTAGCACAAGGACATTAACTTAATGATAATATTGAGCACTTCGAATGAAAGTATTAACTTTATTATTAACTTTAATGCTGCGGTTTTAACTGCATGGAACTATTAATTGCTAAGTGGACTAAATAGGTGCTTGCTAACGCCAGTTTAACAAGATACAACTGTCAAATTTCTTCATTAGATTTTCGACTTTTTTACCCATTGATACAGATGAAAGTTTATCGTGATAACCATGGTAGACATATACCAAAGATACATACCAAAATAACGACAGAGTGGCAAAATTATAAAAGTAATTTATCAAAATATTTTGCTTTTTTACTTATCTTGTTAATAGCATTACTTAAATCTTCCAAATTATATGAAAGGACTACTTTCTTTACATTTGATCTATTTGGTATAAAAAATAATAATATCTAGTTAACATACATAACTTCGGGGCTCGGCGCCGAGGGCACGCTTTTTTTATCCGGGCGGTCAAAAGGTTAAAACCAATTTAACCCGGCTATAAATGTTTTAGTCTACATCGTATTTTATTATTTACTGTGTGGTTATGACGTCATTTTTACTTTTAGTGCATTCATGCGACAGCGGAAGATTTGGCGAGAAACTTCAACTATACTTATGATAGATCTATTCCTTATGACTATTGTTCAGCAAAATATTCAAAGTTCTTCTATGAAGATGAAAATGATGATCCAGATCCCGACAGTGAGGACAAACTGCCGAAGTATGTGTTAAACAGCACACACTATACCAACGTGTCGCTGGAGAAAGATTCACATTTCTACAACATCAATGTTAACACGAATACCAGTTGTGTTCACGTTCCCACAAATATTTTTGATGAAGGTAATTTTTGTATACAGATACTTATTTATGTTTTAATTCATCAAACAATTATATTGAAAATCAAATTATTGCATTATAAACTTGGTAGCAAAGAGACGGAGCCACTAGCGATTTTTCTTTTACCATTATTTTATTAATTGGCAACGTGTGTCGTATAGAAGGCAAAGGCAAATGAGAGCATTTTGTTGTTAAAAGGAATATTTTAGTGTGGGAGAGCCATGCTTCGGCACGAATGGGTCGGCTCGACCGGAGTGATACCATGGCCTCACAGAAAACCGACGTGAAACAACGCTTACGTTGTGTTTCGTCGCATGAGTGAGGTTACCGAAGACCCAACATTCCCCCTTCCCTCCCCAATCCCTGACTCCCAAAATTCCTCAAATTCCTAATCCCAAAATGGCTGGTAACGCACTTGTAACGTCTCGGGTGTTCCAGGTGTCCATGGGCGACGTCGATTGCTTACCGTCAGGTGATGCGTCTGCTCGTTCACCGGCTTATCCCATAAAAAATATTTTTTAAATTATAGAGGATACGATAAAATTAATAAAAATGGCTAGTGTGGCTCAGTTTCTTTGCTCTGTACTCAGTCGTTTCGAGTCTTCTTCATCGTCATCATCAAATCAGTTTATTTAGGGCTACTGCTCAACATGTCTCTTTAATGAGGGTCGGATCGAGGCACGCGATGGAAGAGGCTTATTTCTGCGTATAGTAGTCAATTTACTGAAACTCCTGGGTGTACTAAGTACCGAATTACGTTAATTGAACTGCTGTATTTTTCCTCCTGAGTAATTTTATATGAAGCTTTCAAAATATCAACGTAATTGATGGAAAGTCCGTGAATGTTTAGTATACAGTCCAACATAACATAACATCACGCCTTTATCCCCGAAGGAGTAGGCAGAGGTGCACATTACGGCACTTAATGCCACTGTACAATGTAACACCCACTGATTTCACTATTTATGTTACGAGTCCCATGTAATAGGGGTGAGCCTATTGCCATAAACCGGGCACAATTCCAGGCTCCGAGCTATTATTTTTTTAAAAACCCAGTAATAATTTGTCCGACCCGGGAAATGAACTCAAGACCCCTTACCCAGTATATAGTTTTAGTATACACTCCAAATTTCACGACATTCTAGACAGAATGTTATTTTCATTTGCAATGACAGTAAAGAGTATAAAATTCTCTGGTATAAATAAACAATGCCGATTCATAAATACGCTGCTTGATTCCACCCAGCAATGATTGTACAGGCGTGGGCAGTGGTGTACAACGTGGTGGGTGAATGACCCATCTGTGATTGATCATGTATATTATGTATACCAGACATCTCTTTTGTTTACCAACAGAACTTATATTAGCGTATATTATAACTAGCTGTTACCCGCAACTTCGTCCGCGTAGAATATGATTCCTGTTTTATCCCATGGGAGCATTTAATAGGGATAAAAAGTATCCTATCACCTAACTCTGCCCATACTCTGCCTGTATACCGTAAATTTCATCAATACCCGTCCAGTAGTTTCAGCGTGATTGATGAACAAACATCCAAATAAAGAAACTTTCACATTTATAATATTAGTGTAGCGAGCGTATATTAAATTCTCTTTTTTATCAATTTGCAATCGCTAGCTCAAAGAGCTTTCCTTATTTGTTTTTCATTAGGAATATTACGTCTATAGATAGACGACTAGTCCTTCGGGGAAATATCAAAGTTAATTTCTTAGAAGCAAAAATTATTAAGGACAACTTTGTTCACTTTTAAAACACTAAAAATATTTCTATTTCCAGAAACGAATGCCCGGAACGCTATCTTATGGTCAAAGGGTCTAAATGATATATTTTTAAAAAACTATAACTCCGATCCGTCTTTATCATGGCAATATTTTGGTAGTTCACATGGAATTCTACGTTTCTACCCTGGCATGAGGTGGAACACTAAAGAAGTAGATACATACGATTGCCGTGTGATGTCCTGGTACATTGAAGCCGCGACTTGCTCCAAAGACATGATTATTCTGTTCGATGTCTCGGGCTCGATGACTGGATTTAAAAACTACGTAGCAAGAAGAACACTACGATCACTACTGGACACACTATCAAATAACGATTACGTGAATGTGTACACGTTTAAAAACACTACAAACTTTGTAGTCGACTGTTTTGTAGACTTAGTTCAAGCAACTCCCGAGAATCTAAAGACTTTAACTGATACCCTTGAGCCGACGGACGAAGGAAAAACACATAAAGTGCCCCTAGAGGGTTACGCAAATTTGACGATGGCGTATATTAAAGCTTTTACAGCACTTAAGGCGGTAAGTGGGACGTTTACGATACGTTTTGTGAGGCTGCCGTCCGCGGCGACATCCAACCGGGACATAACATCGTATACAACCCTCGTCAACAAGCAAAATAATGACTGTAGACTTTCCCTTTTCGACCATAAAATCATAATAAATTCAGTTTTTTCGCATGTATAATTTGAGATCATAAAATATTTATTTGGCTTAAAAATGTAGACCATTTTAAGCAGCAGAGGAGCCTGTTGAATAATTTATATTTGTTGTAACTTTTTACTTGCTATGTCTTTAGAGACGAGACAAGTGCAACGTGAGCAGTACGCAAGGTTGCAACCAGTTGGTGATGGTGATCACAGACTATGTACCGGGGAACTTGACTGAAGTCTTTGACCAGTACAACCGGGAGGTCATCGGAGGGAAGACGTTCATCCCTGTGAGAGTGTTCACTTATCTCATCGGGAAAGAAGTTACTAATGTTCGCGAGATACAGTGGATGGCTTGTCTGAATAGAGGTGAATGTTTCATATATTATTTGTTCGCCCGTTATTCTCTCGAGAGCTCCGTATATTGTGTGACACTTACCGTCAATTGTGCAATAAAATAAAGTAATGTACAACTTTGGTGAAATATAAAGCGTAGAGAGAGACATAATTTAAAGGTGACATACAAATATGTACTTCTTTATTCACATAAGTTTAACCTGACCAATAACGTTTGCGTCAGGTTACTTCGTGCACATTCACTCAGTGGAGGAGGTGCAGCAACAAGTGCTGAAGTACATCAACGTCATCGCGCGCCCCATGATCCTGGAGAACAAGGAGCCGCCTCCCACCTGGACACACGCCAATATTGACTCCACGGTCAGTTTCATTCCATCTGCTTAAGTAATTTACAGTTACAGGTTAGACCAAGAAGTTTGGAGGTCGATGAATGTCTGCTAATTGGTTTGACTATAAAAAGCATATGACTCTAATTGTATGCAATTGTATGCCTCTGAAAGATGAGCTAGATATAATACCTATCTGTAGGTAATTTGTACGTCCTCTTGAGTTACTGCCAAAAATTGGACACAGGTGCAAATTCCTTGCTATTATTGAGGAATTCGGAAAAACCCAGATCTGATTCGGTAGTCGCTTTGAGGAAATTACGATGTGTTTTATCTAAATATTGTCTTTTTGTCTTTTACAGCGAACCAGCAAATGGGGTGTGAGTGGTGATATCTCAAAGGTAATATTTTTATTTTTAGTAGTCTTAAAGTAACGCGTTTTTACTAGACATTGTAAGCCATGTTGTCTATTAACAATTATAAAAACTCCTGAACAAACGTCGATCAGTTTTGTCTATAAATACACCTAAGCTTTTATAGCTAATTTGAACATGGCAAAAATTGTACGAAACGAGCTTAATACATCTTCTTTATTAGACTTTAATGTAACAATTTCTGAGCGTTAGGGGTTGAGACGTAGGGCGTACCCATGGTTTATTTAAGAATATTTCAAAACGCCTGGTCGACGTATCTTGTGACCAGAGGCCTGATCTGTTCCTCGGCCAGAAGTTAAGCATTGACATAAAACGTGGCAATGCTGCCAGCCCTCAGGGTTCATTTCCTAATGACATTGATGCGTATACATTTTTTGACGCTCTTTGTATATACAAAGACAAAGACAGTTTCTTTTGTCTTTTATATTCATTGTTAAGTAATTTTAAAGTTTTATAGATTTAAATGTATATATTAGAAATAAAATAACTGTTGTTGCTGATAAAAATAAAAACGTACATGAAAAAACTATTTCGGTATGGCTAGAATTTTAATTGAGACCTAACTAATTCCAGCCTGATGAAGACAAACTGGTGACATCGGTGGCAATCCCAGCGTTTGACTATAAGTACAATGAGGAGAACAACGATGCTCTATTGCTTGGCGTCGCTGGAACTGATGTGCCTATAGACAGCATCGCCAAACTTGCTAAACCACATCAGGTAACTACCACAATAATGTAATTTGTTATTCCGCGTATATGTCTTTTGTTAGGACCAGTATTTTTTTTTATTAACGTTTTAAACATTTAAATTTTTGTGGTAGGTAGTTGAACAGATTTTTGTTGTCATTTGATTGTTATTTTCTTCATTTGAAACCAATGTTGAAGTGATCTGTAATTTGGTAAAATTTTTCCATTAGCTTCAATAGTATCTAGTTTTGTTTTCTAAAGCGTCGAACAAGCGATTCAGCAATTCTAATGTATGTTTTTTTTATTTATTTATATAGGGCTTGGTCTCAATTTATATTGTTAGGTAGATACTGGTTTCCCAAAACATTAATTATCACTTTATTTACGCTAGTTACCATATATTTCCAGTTGGGTGTGAACGGGTACTCGTTCATCGTCAGTAACAATGGCTATCTGTTGCTGCACCCACTGCTGACGACTACTGTAAGTTAAACAGATGTTTATTAGCACGTATACCTAAAGTTTTTAGACACAACTTAATTGCAAAAGAACAGACAAATCACCTGTTGTAAACAATTGCCCATGGACATCGGTAAAAACTTACATGGCATTTATATCAGAAACAAAATTAGAGAAACACACTTTCACCTTTGCATCTATATTTTAATTTTATCTCCAATTTTTTCAGTTATTTCTACAATATTTTCTTAATATAGGTATTGATTTATAAACAATTTCGTTTAAACCATTACCTATCTATTAATGACATATTTTTCGCATAACGATTGTTAATTTTGTAATTTAATATTTCCAGATAAACGGCGATCTCCAGAAGAACTATAACAGTGTGGACTTCGTGGAGGTGGAGCAGGTGGACGATGGGAAGGGAACCCGTGACCTTGGGGATCAGATCAAGAATCTGCGGAACTATCTCGTGGAAGGTGTGGATGGGAACATGACACAAGTGCCTGTACTCTACCATTATGACAACATGAGGTATTCAAATATTCTTCTTTATTTATTGTCCGTTTATAAACATTTTTAGGGATTATCATTCTATTTGGTGAACAAGTCTCGGGTCTATTTCATTCTGTTTGTTTAAGCTGAAAAATCTAATCTAATGACTAAAAGCAATTTGAGTTTCCAAACGTAAATCATTGATACGTGTAGGATTCTTGTTCGAAATTGCGACCTAGCGTCTAATAATTAAAATTAATTTTATTACTAATTTAAATCTACCTCCTTCTTCTCCTCCTTCCATCCTTACCTCCTTCTAGAAGATATTATACCATTTGACCTAACTGAAAAGATTTTTTCAAACAAACGTTTTTTGATATATTTAGGAGAATAGCTCGAGTGAGCCACGATTACTTCTTCAACAAACTGGAAGGAACACCATTTTCCATGGGGATTTCATTGCCGAAGGGATATGGTGACACTGAACTTCTGCTCAAGGAGAATCCTTTGGAGGCGAAGCAAGGAAAGGAACTGACTGGCATCAACGTCACTGATTACTTCAGATATAGCTTTAGGGTACATCCAGATTGGTAAGTTTATAATACATTGTATCCGATTGAATGAAATAATTTTACTTCTAGAGGGCAAACGGTTGTTAGCACATAAATAGTTTAAGACACAACTTACTTACAATAGAACAGACAAATCACCTGTTGTAAACAATCAGCATTGTCCATGGACATCGGCAAAATCTTACGTACCAGTACATTGCCGGCATTCATATCAGATAAATGAAATTAGAGAAACACATTTTCACTTCTAGAGGGCAAACATTATCAGATAACTTTATTTTTTAATGCGATCTTTCCTCTAGCTACATCATTGAAGTAACGTTGGAATCTCTCTATAATTTAGATATTGTGTTATTAATGTCTCCTCTTGTTTAATCAGATTAGTATATAAGAAACCCTGTTTTGTTTCTACTTCCTGAAAATTCTGAAAATTGTTAAAAAGTTAGTTAGTTAGCGATTTTTTACCCCTTTTTCTCTATTTTCTTCAGGGTATACTGCAAATACCACTACTTAGAAGGTCACGAGTCGTCAAACTCTGAGGAGGAGGCGTGGAAGTTCTTAGTTGGACTGTCCAAGAACGAAATAGATATAACCAAGCAACAATATCCAGAAAACGAGAATAAGACGAAAGCTTTCAGCTTAGACAGTGAGTATTGTTAATTGTACTAAATAACTCAATCAAACGACTTCATAATGTAGCATGTGTATGCCCCATTATGGCGTTATGGCGTTTACCATAGGCCTTAGTACGAGTTCCTTTTACGTTTAAAGTAATAGAAACGAGACGGCGTTCGGTGCTCTGATTGGTTTGTTCATAGGAGTCAGCCAATCACAGCGCCAAACGCGTAGGTTACTCGTTACAATTAGGTAGTTCAAATGTAAAACAAACTCGTACTAAGACATCTAATGGTGTTAATATAACATGAGGTCCTATTTATCCAATCACTGCAACTGTCAAAAATTTACTGTCCAATGGTTTGACGCTAAAAAATAAAGGACCTCACACTGCATCAGCGCCACCTCGTGACCACAAAGACGTTAGCTTATAGAATATTAACTTTTTAGTTCCTAATTTGTATACATACTAGCGGACCCAACAGACGTTGTCCTGCATATCCACTTGAATGTATAAACAAAAATTCTGTTTAGGATAAATAACTTAAACATCGACTGCAGCGCCATCTGCCGGGCTGATTTGTGAATCTAGACCATTCCCAGATCCCCTTGAACACACACAAAAAATTTCATCAAAATCTGTCCGTGAAGTTCAGTGACATACATACTCACAGAAGAATTAGGTATATTTATAAAGATATGATATACAACTAAATCAACGCAAGCATGTTAACCACTAATAATATATCTTCCTCAGCACATTGCGGCATGACCCCTTTGGGAAAAGACGACTACTATTGTAACGAGGACTTGGTGAAGCAGTTGGTGTTTGATGCGAAATTATCAGCTCCATACTTTGAGAACTGGATAGCAACTGATGAGCAATGGGACTTGGCTCGCAAGTACAATGTGAGCGTTCGGTTCATAGCCACGTCGAGTGGTCTGACCAGGTGGCATTACGTCTTCGATACAGACAAGAATGAAGAAGTTGATGATCACGGCAACAGGAGGAAGGAATATGATGGAAAGTAAGATTACCATAACTTCATAACTTTACGCTTTTTTGTCCTCAAAGGGATAGGCAGAGGCACATTATGGCACTTAATGCCACTGTCCAATGTAACAGCCACTTGTCACTATTTATGTTATGCGTCTAATGTAATAAGGGGTGAGCCTATGGCCCATATACCGGGCACAATTCCAGACTCCCTGCTACTACTGAATTTTTATTTTAAAATCCAGTAATACTTTGCTCGACTCGGAAATCGAGCTCGGAAAGTAGGTGGAACCGAAAGGAAGTAAGATTATTTTTATTAATTTTGTAATGGTTTTGGATAATTAGTAGTTTCATAATTACTTGTTTTGATGAAGATTTAAAAAAAATGTATTTTACACCGATCTATTAAGTAGGGCTTTGTTTCTCTGCTGTGTTGTGGAGGTGATATTGTTCTATCATGGAAAACAATATTTTAAACAACGACTTAAGTAATAGGTATATCGTTAAATACACAATTTTACCGTTAGACGTATCTACAGTTCCCAATCTCATTGCAGCGTTTTTGGAGACATCTACCACAATACCATTGAAGAGACTTGGTACAAGGCAGCAGTGTTACAGCATATGATCAACAAGGAATCCTTAGTCGTGGCCACACCTCTCCCAGTCCTCGATGACATCATCAAGAACCCTCCGAAAGTCATTAATGAAGATGGAGATATAACCCTGACTGCAAGCTACGCGATCTTCTATAAGGACGAAACATCAGAAACACCAGCATCTGTTGTCGGCTTCCAATACTCCTATTTGAAGTTCTATGAAAGATTTTTGGAAATAACCAATATTTCTTTGGATGGTTCTAAGGTATGATTTCATTCATGAAGTTCACCGATTAAGAGGCAGACTTGATTTAAAGAATGTAGAATTTTATGTTCCCCAATCTTAGTGAAATAGAACATAATGAAGTGAAATTACTTTAATGGCTTACAAATATTGTTCTTTCATCATTATTCTGATAACTTGTGAATGTTGTAAATATCTAAATTTTCTTCTAGGATCCAACATGTGATCCGAATTCCGACAAATACGACTGTTACGTCATCGACAGTTCTGGGTACATCGTGCTGACTAAGGATAAGGAGATCATTGGCCAGTTCTTCGGGACAGTTCAGAAACATGTGTTACAGTCATTCCTTGAGTTGGGAATCTACGACCATGTCGAGGTGTTCAACTACCAGGCTCTCTGCCCACTCTCTGCTTTGATCAAGAAAAGTAACTCTTGGACCTTGCGCACGGTAAGTAGGTTGTGTGATTTCGTTAAGGTATATTTAACCTTTAAAATACTGGTCGATAGCCTATAATGGTGGCAAATATGGGATTAACAAATATGTTGGCATAGTTGTTGCAGTTGTTGGTGGACTAGCTTCTGCGCATTGTATTGTGTATCACAATTGGGTATTTTTCTTAATCAAAAATAAATTATATAATAATAAATAATACTTATGTATATTAAAAAATAATCACATTTTCATCCATTGATTTTATGACCAGTTTTTTTTTAGTATGTCATCCAGCAAATTTCTAAGAAATAAGTATGCTATTTGACGCAAAAAAACGTGACGTCACAATGACAATACAATCTCGTACAAACTTCAAAGAAAACTGTCATTTTTGTCAGTTCTAAAAAAGTATTGAATTTGACTAGTTGCCAAGTACCCAATGTCAATCTCCTTGCAAGAAAATGAAATGAGAATTTAAAGAGAATCTTAATAATATTTTAGTATTGTTTGCAATTTCATGAGAAAAACATCTATAGAAGTTTCCATATTCAGAAGACTAGCAAAAATTAACCAAATTTTGGTTTCTTTCCAGTTGCCTAACATTTTCATGCTAAGCGATCTAAATCCATTGTTGGTAGAAAACACAGAATTGTTAAACAACTTGTATGTTTTGTAGCCTTTTAGTTTAGCATTCAACTTCTTCCACTGGCTGGTGACGGAGGCTCTGCTATTACTCTCCAACCTGTACAACCCGAGTGACTACGCGCACGCCGCCGTCCTCGACGACCATGGTGAGATACTAGTCTTAACTGATGTTGTATCGTCTATAGACAAATGTATACCCTAAAAACAGTAATATAGGCTTTAGATAGGTGATCTTGCAAAAAATAATGCTATAAAACTAACTATTAAAAATCTCTTTAATATATTAAATAATATTAATTAAAGAAATGTTATAAGTAAACATTGATAGGATTCAGTCAGTCATGACAAAAAACATAACTATAAACACAAAGTATATGATACCGATTACGTAAAACAAACTTTGAGATTAATGTTAAACGTGAATATGCACATAACTTAACCTCTAGCTTTTGTTGTTCATAGGAATGAGCTTTAGTATTTTCTTCTAAATCGATAGTTTTTACGGCACTTTCAGCTAATTGCTTAAGTACTTAATAGTAGCTCGTACACAAAAATAACTATTAGATGACTGCAAGGTAGAAGCAATTAATAGAAGAAACTATTGCAAACGGCCACAGACTAATAGCGGCTTTTACTAAATTACTCTTGACACGGCAACATATCGAACTTTACTAAGCTTTCAGGAAACAAAAATTGTAATTATAATGAGTATTCTCTACACTGCAACTAGTTGTCTAGCTGCATGGTAAGCCGCAGCTTTTACTATTGTATTAGCACGTCTAATTCTTCTGCTTTATGTAACCGCATGGTCGTCTCGCTCGCAGACTATATCGATCTAATCCACCACGGGTACACAGAGGCGCCCACGACGACCGCAGCACCAATGCCGGAGAATGAAACAATCACACAAAAAGATGACAAAGATGAGAGCCCTTTCTCCTGCGACCATAGTATCACACTTTTTATACTGAATCAGAAATATTTCTTGGATGCCGCGGGAGCTTCACCCGTCGTTCAGAAGGACGAGGCAGGGGACTGTTGGCCGGCGTACTGGGCTGCGTATGTGCCTAAAACGAATTTGCTCCTCGTGGTTGTTGAGAAGCAGGATGATTTCGCCGCGAACTGTACGGAGCCGCCCGACACGAAGCCGCAGCCGACGCTCATGTCCACCACCAGCCGGGAGCCCTGCCACAAGCTGGAGCTCGGAGCTCTGCACAGGCGACGACTAGAAGGCTGCTACACTTATCATGATGGGGTAAGATTGAAATGTTTTTGTGTTAACGTTCTTGGAGGAATTTCACTTGTAAATGCTGGGCAAAAGCTTCTTCTTATACGGCGAAGAATGAGTTTGACCACCATTGTGATTGTGATAATTGTAAGCCTGGGTTTCTTCACTGGCACTATTCACCTCCGGGCCACTAACATCAAGAAAATAGTAATACGCGTAAATGAAAGAAATAAAGGACATATGGCTAATTTATCTTTTTATTGTATATAGAAAGTTACCATTTCTTTAAGTTTAGACAAGAATGTAATTTTTCCAGCGATGAGCGATGTGGTCTCCAAGCGACGAAGCCCTTAAATAAATAAAAAAAGTTGTTCTAGTTTTTTCCCAATTATTTGGGCGTGTGAAATTAATGTATTGTTTGAACATTACAATTTGTCCCCAGGAGCGGAATATCACAGCGTGTGGTATCGGCAGCATCGCCGGGCTCGACGTGGCCGTCCTGTTGTTCGCCGCGGTCATGGCGGTGCTGGCCAAGACCAGCTCGTGACGCGGCGCACCTCATACATTTGTACCTTTGTTACTTTGCCAATAAAACTTGTTGCACCAGTATCTAATGTTTTATTTACCCATTTTGTATAAAACTAATATTTATTTATCTATTACATTAGTTTGGAAGAGTACAGACAGTTGTTCATTTAATTTTAATTTAAGTTATTTCCTCCTATATTGTTAGTTGCTCAACTAGATAAGCTATTTAAATTTATTATTTCAATAGTAGACTCCCTTAAAATCACATACTTTCAAAATTTTCAGTAATAAAACGTAATAAGTAATTATTTCAATGAACCGCGGGAAAGAACGGTAGCTGAAAACATGTCCGCCGTCCCACCGACACGCTGACCTAGTGATGGGGGCGAGCAATCGATGCGTCAGGTGCCGACAACGACGGAATCCACAAGTTACGTAGCGCCGTCATACACAAACAGCTCGGAGGTCGCCACTCGCCAGTCGAGCCGCGCAGGGGAACCAGCGCGCATGCCCGCCCTGCGCTCACTCGCGCCTGCGCACTGCGACGCACACCTATCAACCTTATCAATGTTCGTCGCCCAGTACCTAACACAGCCCGACCGTCTAACATCGGATTCCCTAAACATCTTCAATGTCATAATTAGATTAAGTGCGTAACATGTCCTCGTATCGTTCTAGTCAGTGAAACAAATACAACGCAGTGGTTCTGATGTGCAAGTGTGTCGGTGCCTTCGTGTTACTTTTGCTGGTTTTGTTCCTGGACTCCAGGGACTGCTCGGCTAGTGATGCCCCTGCTAAAATATCGCTCAACTCGTAAGAGATATTTGCATAATACAAATTATCAAATTGAATTATTTTACTTCTACCCAACACAATTAATCCCCTTGAGACTAATTTCCATCTGCCTATGAAGTTATTAGGTATAGGTAATAGACACAAAAACTGTAACCAACTGGCAGAATTAAACAGAATTCGTTACAATAAACAAAAATAAGATTAAACTGTTTTTAGACTAGACATAATCTATTATTATCGATATGCTAACATCGTAAAAAAGCCATAAAGAACGAGTAACTCCGAAATGCTGAGTAAATGTTACCGGACAGAGTATGATTTATAGATTTGGTTTACTGTAACATCAATATATTAACTGTTTAGGGTACAAGCATGGGCGGTTAAACTCGGTACCGAGTTATATCACTTCGGGGAGTTCATCACCAGGAAGAAAGAAGTTCAGGACGTATGTACACATTGTTATATTTGTTCTATTATTGCGCTTACTAAGGCAAATGCTACATAATTAATTAATTTTATTCAGAGTTTCAAATCTGCTCAAGTCGAATCGAGAGATGGGGAAAAATTAGTCCAGAGTATGTCAGACGATATTCGCGCCATGATGGAACTGAAAATTAGCGCTGTCAAGAGGATAGTAGACGCTGCACAAAACATGGCTTTTGACAAACAAAACGAACCGGTACCTGAGGACTTTCAGTTCTACAACAGTAAGGAGATGGAGGAGCCGTGGGATGAAGTGTCGATCACCACTACACCAGAAACAGACTTCGGCCAAGAAAGCTGGATAGTACGGCCTCCATCTAAGAACGCGCACACGCAGCAAAACCCACACTTTTCTAACATTCCAGTAAATACTAATTTTAGCAGTGTACACGTTCCAACAAATGTTTATGCTTGGGGTGAGTAAACCATGGACGTGTAACGTTTAGTCGTGTAATCATAAATATTGTGTGAACGGATTAAAAATGGTACATGTGTTCCAGCACCCGAGGTTATCAAAGGAATCCACTGGTCGGAAGGTCTGGACACACACTTCATAAATAACTATCAGAGTGACCCTACGCTGTCGTGGCAATATTTTGGCAGTTCTACGGGATTCATGAGGCATTATCCTGGTAAAGAAATTTTTACCAATTTATGGATTCTTATCTATTCCACAGACATGTTCTAATTAAAATTATATTTTAGCTTTGAAATGGAGGGCGGACCCTGTGGACATTTATGATTGTCGGACCCGAGCATGGTACATGGAAGCGGCTGCCAGTCCAAAGGATGTGATCATTTTAGTAGACCGCAGCGGGTCAATGACCGGCCAACGACGGGATATCGCGAAACACGTTGTTACCAACATACTTGACACCCTGGGTAACAACGATTTCGTCAACGTGATGACATTCGCTGATACTGTGGAGGAAATTGTACCGTGTTTTGAGGATTCTCTTGTACAAGTGAGTTAGTTTCTAGGTACTTAAAAACACAATGAAAAAAAAAACAAGTCCGCCGGAGGTGTACGAAGCAATACATACTTTCGTTAAGATAAGCAAACCGTTAGCTATTTTAGAATATTGCAGTAAACAACTATTATCAAGATAACGACGACGATATACAATATATGAAAGTACTTAGACTGTCATAATAAATCATAATTTTATTTTTGGACATTATCAGGCTACCCTGGGGAATCTTCGAGAACTAAAATTGGCAATGGACAATTTCGAAACACAGGAGATCGCAAATTTTTCAGCAGCTTTGACGAGAGCATTTGAGTTATTGGAAATATACAGGAATAACAGCGGCGGAGCTAACTGCAACCAGGTAGGTTATTACTTCACGTATTTTATCCCCAGTAGGGGTAAGCAGAGGCATATTATGTATAGTCCACATTTTACCGTTTGTGTTATGAGTCCCTGATATTGTAGTACTGATTATAGCTTAGGGAGGTACAGTACTAAGAATTTGAAAAAATTGAAGTCGACTTTGAGTATTCTTACTTGCTTCTCTTCACACCGTGCTCACAAGTATAATTCATATAAATAAAAATGAATTTAAACAGCTGAACCGATTCGACTAATTTTGGTCTTGAATTGTTCGTGGAAGTCCAGGGAACATCTAAAAGGTAACAAAAATTTTTAGGCAGTATTAAGTTTGCCGGGTCAACTAGTATATAATGAACGAAACAAACAAAAGTCTCTGTCCCTACTTAGCAAAAAACTTTAACATTTTCGAAGGTTCCTGAAAACAGTGGCAAAATAGAAAACGTTTTCTTGTTTCAGGCAATAATGCTGGTTACAGACGGCGTACCTTACAATTATAAGGAAATATTCGAGAAGTTCAATTGGAAATATGATACCCCAGTGAGAGTGTTTACGTACCTGATAGGGCGTGAGGTAAAGGTAGTACCACTTCAAGTCTTACTGTGTGTCGTAGTCATTGTGCGACCTGCATAATGCCTTCCTTCGTACCAAAATGCCAGTACGCCTAGAATGTGGTACCCTGTTGTCTGTCTATTGTACATCGGACCTGTACATTGCATGGTGATGTTTTTGTAATTTGTACATTTTCCAATCTCAATGTGCTTCAGCTTGTAGAGTTTTTGTTCGTTTTGTATGTTTTTGGTGGGTCCAAACTTATGTTTTATAACGTAGTTCAATACTCGAAATTCAATATATTAATTTTTCTTTTAACTTGGATCAATGTCCTTAACCTAATGTTGGATCTACCCATTTACACTTGTTGCTGTTGTTAGAAAAAGTATCAAAACTATTAAAAGTTTAGTGCCTCCATGGGGCGCTTGAAGAAAAATTCCTTATGGTTTTAAAGATTAATATATGTTCAATACTTGCATCAGGTGTGAATCATGTTATAAGATTTAGACTAACCGTTGATCATTTAGCGAAACATTCGAACAAGATGCAATGGACTGTAGTGTTCATACTTCAAAATTTAATAAGATGCACGTAACTCGTATGTATGAATATTGATTTCGATATCAGTGTGTGTTTGTTGGTAATTGATTGAATTTTGCGGTGCGTGCAAATACAAAGTGTCCTGTGCATCTCAATCATAGTTTTTGCTAAATGAGAGTTGTAATGAATGAGACATAATATGTATGACATGCGTAGAATTTTGTACAAGTATGGTGGTTTTTACGTAGTGGAGTTTGTGTTATGCATTTTATTATTATCTTCTTGTAGAATATCGACCTAAATATACTTCTTACAATTTTTCAATTCTCTAATTTTGATAATATGTATTTATATCTGTAGTTTTTCCATTTAACCCTATTACAACTATTGTCGTTGTAGATATTGTACTAATAAATGTTGTGAAAGCCTTACCACATGCTGCAGAGGACACTTAGCTAGGTCAGATGAATGCAGCACTTACACAGGCCGTCGTTAGAGACTCGAGGTAGGAAGAATGGGTAGTAACACGTTAAGGCTGTGTAGGTGGCAGATGTGAGAGAGGTGAAGTGGATGGCGTGTGCCAACCGTGGGTTCTACGTGCACCTGAGCACTCTGGCAGAGGTGCGCGAGCGCGTGCTCGAACATGTGAACGTGCTCGCGCGCCCTCTCGTGCTACAGAGAGCGAAACACCCCGTCGTCTGGACTCCTGTCTACGCCAACGTCACTGTAAGTACTCTCATATTTGGGAGTTCATTTTATCACTTTGATACATTGTAACATGTCATTTAATAGGATCCAAAAGTAGCCGATTACTTGTGGGAGCAACGCGAGCGAGCTGAACAAAAGGAGCGCTTCATGAGCCAGCGACGAGATAAAAACCTCTTCAATTCGGACAAGGAACAGGACAGACGATGGAGAATTACTCAGGTAAATATATCCTTATCATTTTGTGACAGTCTAATAATAGGCGATATTTATATTGCCATTTGAATTACATGAGGGTCGAATTACCCTAAAAGCTTTTACGGGGGTGTCTTTGAATTATTTATGTTGCAGATGAAACAAGGCCAGTACAGTGAACTTGGAAATTCTCAGTATCAGTTAATGACGTCAGTATCCATGCCTGTATATGACCTGCGGCACAATGAGGTGAGATGTCGTGTGTGTACCTATTCTTAAGCCCTGAACTTGAGTCCCCTAAAGTGTCAGAAAAAAAGTAAATATTCGGGAAAGAGAATGATTTGCATTACTTTTTATTGATTTGCGGTTTTTAATCTATTTCAGTGTCAGTATCTTTCTCTCTTCTAGTCAAATTATTCTCTTATCTGTATTATTTAGCTGTACATTACGTCTTTTCTAAATTCTAAATTTTCCACGTAG